CCTGCCTGATACCCCCTACCTGTTCCCTGCCAGACACCCCCCCACCTATCCCCTGCCTGACACCCCCACACACCTGTCTCCTGCCTGACACCCCCACATACCTGTCCCCTTCCTCACACCCCCACACATCTGTCCTGACACCCACACACCTGTTCCCCTGCCCGACACCCCCACAACCTTTACCCTGCCTGACATCCCCACAAGCTGTTCCCTCCTGGCACCCCACACACCTGTCCCCTCCTGACACCCCACACACCTCTCCCCTCCTGACACCCCACACATCTCTCCCCTCCTGACACCCCACACATCTGTCCTAACTATATGAGATGGAACCTGAGCCTGACAAGGCTTTCTTGGTGTCATCACATCTAAGTACTCTCTTCTGGAATTCTTCAAAACAAGTGACAGGCGGTCTGCTTCTGGGGCTTCATCCCAACCTACAGTCAGGTGGAAGGTGGGCCCACTCAGCTGCAGGGGAGTACCAGTGGGTTCCCCCAGCCTGACTTGGACGGGGCAGCTGTCTGTGGGAGCAGCACCAGGAGCACAGAAGAGACCCATTGCATCCAGAGCAGGAGGCTGCCAGGGTTGAGCCCCAAGGGCCACTTCTGGCTGCTTGGAGCAAAGCAGGGTCTCTCCACACACAGTAGAGAGGAGCACGGGGTTCCTGAGCTTGGGGAGATGAGCTGTGCAGCCTGTTGGGAGACTGATTGGAGCCCTTCCAAGGGGCCCCCTAGGGACTCCAGCAAGGCCACAGAAGCTGGGCAGCCCAGACCCTGTGAGGACACAATTAAGCAAGGCAAGACTGGACCACAACCGCCAGGGCCAAGCGGCCCTGAATGAAGTCAGCCTTCTGGAACAAAGATGCTCTCTGGCAGGAGACACCACCCAGGGCTCCCCCTGCACAGCCTGAGAAGTGAAGAAGAGTTATGTAGCCACAGAAACCCAGGGAAGAGCAAGAGGGGCAGCAGAACAAACAGGAGAGAGCAGAAACAGGGACGTTCACACACTGCCGTCAGTGCACTGAAGAAAGCTGCAGGAAGACAGGCAAGGGACAGAAAAGAGCCTTCCCCAGAGAAGGGGTCACGTGAGGCGTGGTGTGGGGTCTTCCTCCACAGAAAGACACAAAACCAGCCTCAGAGGGGACAGGCCTACGTCCCAGCCAGAAGCATCTCACCTGTGCAGGTGGAGGGAGCTGCCTCAGATGGCCACAGCTGGGGGCTCCTTACCTGGAAAGCCAGGTAAGCCTCTGACAGGAGCAGCCGTGCAGGCTGGTACAGGTTCATTTCCAGCAGAGCCTCGGCCTTGAGCAGCCACAGCTGGGGGTAAGACGTTCCATCCAGACCCCTCCCGGTCTCTCCGTTTATCTTCAGAATCTGTAAGACACCACAGTACTGAACCCCACTGACACACCCTGGCCAACGAGGCATAGAGGCCAGTTGAAGCCACAGGTGCACAAAGGCCATGCTCTGTGGGGCTTCTCCAGCACCGGCCCTTGGGGCGCTCGCGGTCCCCCTGTGCTCAGAGCCCAGGTCTCTGGGCGCTGCCCGTTTCTCTGACAAGTGCTGCCACCTGGACCTCTGTCTCGTCTTACTTTCTCCCTCCAGCCCACCCAAATCCCCCACTGGCTGGGAGGCTCTGAACCCCAGGGCCCGGGCACCTTCCTCAAGTGCTGACCCTGGTTCTGAGCAGTGCCCCAGCCTGGCATTCCTCGGAACCAGGGCTCTTGACGCCAGAGCTGCTGTTTGGGAACGTGACTTTCCCTCCTGGGCAAAGCTATGGGGTGAGCCGGATGGTCTGGGGGGAGCCGGTAGTCAGACAGCGGTCCTTGAGGGGCCAGCTGGCTGCAGGGGCTTCCCAAGGATGTGCTCTGCTCCAGGGGAGTCCCTCCTCCCTGCCTGCTCTCATTTGCTGCCCGGGCCCCTGGCAGACTTGCTCCATGCTGGCCTGGGTGCACATGAACCTTGTCTTCCCTGAGGACCGGCAGGGTTCCAGGGAGGACCACGTTCCATCAGGTCTCTGGGTTTCCACAGGAGTTCACGCCCTAAGCACTTAACTGAATTCTGGCTCTCTGGTGCCCTCCATAGGCAGGACAGCGGCCAGGTCACCAGCACACTGGGCTTCGCACTTGGTTACCTTGTCTTGGGCTATGAGTGGCTTCACCTCTCCTGGGTGGCTCGGAGCCTCAGGCTCAGTCAGCACTGGCAGGCTTTCTTCCAGGACGGGCTCCTTGTTATTCTCCTTTCTCAATGCGATCTCCTTCCTGCAGCTGGTGGGAGATGAACATGTAGCAGGTGAAGTGCGGTGACCACTTTCACGGCAACAGCCACTTTCATCAGTACCCAAGAGACGATCGCAACGGCCACAAGAAGCTGTAGTCCACACTTTTAAAGAGACTAAAAATGTCCCTGGGATTTGGCCACAGTCTGGCTCCCAAACTCGTGTCTTGGGCTTGTTTTCTCCACAAAACAACTACACCTCCTGATGTAGAGGTCTAATGGCAGACCCCAGTCTCTACACACCCAAAGCAGGTCTCCCGCCACCCCAGGCAGAAAGACTACGCTCCCCGGGGCTCAGCGCCCACAGGGAGCACCTGGGTGGCCTCCTGCTACTCACTACCAGCCCCCGGCATGGCATGTCCAGAGCTGACCTTCAGAAAATGGACTAGCCTTCAAGAGCTCAGCCCAGGCCTGCCCAACCTCTCAGCCCACACAGGTCCCTTCCTTCAGGACCTTTGACACTTCCCAGTCGTCCAGGAGTCTCCTGACCACCTGCGCCTAGAGTGGGGTCCCCCACCTCTGGCATCACTGAGCGGAGCACACCTCACCCTGTTCCACAGCCCCCCCTTTGTCCTGCATGAAATCATATACAGCAGGAGCTGGCCAGTGAGCCCACCGCAGAGGGGAGGGGCTGCCCCACCTAGGGCTTCCGCAGCTGAGACCTCAAAGTCAGCAGGGGACTGTGAGATGCTGAGCCAGGACCAGCCCTGGGACACCCCCACATTTCTGGAGGCTTGGCAGCTCGCAGAGGCCAGTCAGGCCGGGACAAACGGATCATGTAGCTCGAGAATGCAAAAGTGATGTTGGACACGGACACTTGTCACCGTGGGCTGCAGAGTGAAAGGTGCGGACAGCATGATTCCCTCAAGGAAAACAGTGTGAGTTTTATATCATGGGGAAAGTGTGTTTTATGTTGATGAGGTACATCACCAGAACCATGTATCCTCGCAGGAAAAGAGCGACTCCCCAGGGATGTCTGGATCCTGGTGGGTCCAGCTGTGGGACAGCTGACCTCTGCAGACCTCTAGAACCTGGAGTGACAGGGCTGGCACCCATGCTGGTGCTTTCCCAGGCCCTCCTGAGCGTCCACCTGACTTCTGCATGCACACTCCCGGCTGTCCCGGTAGGTGCTGCCCACCAGGACTTCCAGGCCATGTGGCTGCCTGAAGTCCCCTGCCTGGCCCTTCTCTGTAGGGGAGCTCTGGCCCTGGCTGTACAAGCCCCCAGGAGTGAGTGCCCCACTGCATGGGAGTAGCACGCACCTTGCCTGCTCCATGTCACTGATGTACGTCTGCCCGACCACCGCCTCGTGGTGGGCAGCCGCTGCGGTCAACCTCAGGTCCCAGCACACTCGGGCAAGCCTGGGGGCAGACGGATGGGAGAAGAGACAGTTACACAGGCTGCAGTCAGTGGGGGCAGGCAGCCCTTGGGCTAAGTGAACCTTGTGATCTGGTGGATGGAGAAGATGCAGATGCTTTGATAATGTTTTCAATAATTTTTAAAGCTAAGCAAAATTACCAGGGGCAAAACTGTCAAAGCTCCGTCACTTGCTCACACATTATCTTCCCTGTGTCATTTTCCACCACTGTCACCTTCTGAAGGAAGGCCAGGCACAGAGGTGCGACAGAAAGCTGTCTCTTTAAAACAGTCTCCAGTGGAAGTGACTGCAGCCTTTGGGAGAGAGGAGAGAGCGTCCAGGCCTCCACCCCATCGCCATGTCTGTCCCGTCCTCCCTCTCCTGCTCCTCGAGGGCACAGTGCCCCCCACCCCTAGTGTGCGCTTCCTTAGCATCACGTGGAAATCTCATTCCACCATTTTTACGTCAAGTGTCTTGACATGCCTAGATCACAAACCTCGGGATTCATTGTTTACACAAATACCCAGCCTTAGAATTCACATTTCAAAAGATTGTTTCTGCATTGCTTTGGGCACGTGTTCAGCCTGGCCACTTCAGTGTGGCCAGCTTCCCTGGAGGCACAGAAGGCAGATGCACCCACCGAAGGTGGTAGAGGTCTGCCAGGCTCTTGCTTTCCACCACTGCATCTGCGATGAGGACGCCCAGCTGCAGGACGGGGACGGTGAGCTCATGCAGAGACATCTTCCGCAGGGCCGTGACCAGGAGGTCCAGGTAGTACAGAGTGTACGTCTGCAGAAACACAGCGAGCACCGTCACAGGCGGGGAGCAGTGGCAGCCTCCCTCCTGGGGCCGAGCAGGGGCCTGGCACGCAGGGTCAGCAGGCCCTCCCTTCTCCTTCTGTCCTGTGCAATGACCAGTAAGCATCAGCACCCGAGGGCAGCTAGAGACCTCCCAGGGGCACACCCACTCCTGTGTTCAGCCATGAAATCCACGCTCTGCTCCCCTTCTTCCCACTGGACTCTACTGGCCCATCAAAACCAGGATTTCTTCATGAACACATACAACCACTTGAAAATCAGACCTAGGAAGTGGACAGCTGTGTTCTGTGGGTTGGAACTAAGCACCGAGTGACCTGTGTTTAAAATCTGCGTATGGGAGCTGGTGGAGCGCAGAAAGCAGCAGGCGCTGAGGTCTGGAAGAAGGTGCCCAGGGGAAGTGGCCAGGCTCACGGGCGGCTGAGGGCTGGAGGCTCCCACCTGTCCGCCCTGCGGCTTGCACAGGCCCAGGCCGGGGGCACTGCAGGTCGGGACACACAGATGGTGTGCTGTGGAGGTGGGAGGTACCTGAGGCCTCTGCGAATTCCATAAGGGGATACCTGCAGCTCCTCCACTTGTTTTCCTTTCCATGAACAGACCCCACTAGGGCGGGAGGCAAGCCCCAGGCAGAGCAGCCTGCTGCTCACGGATGGGCAACGGTTTCCTCCCAGGACCCGTCCAGTCTTCTTCCCACATCCTGGGTACACAGAGCTCACCACCAGGTGGCACACGTGAAACGAGGGCACGTGAATGGCCAGCGCCTGAGGTAGGCCAGCTTGCTGCTCCCAGAGCACCTGCTTACCCACAGTGCAGACGCTACCACTACCACGTGGATTGTCTCAGGAGGGAGGACCTGGCCACAGAGCTCTGGCTATGGTGGGTGGGGCTGGAGGAAGGCACAGGCATCCCCAAGCCACTTGGCAGCCAGTACCTCTCCATTGTTGAGGACTCCCACGGGCTATGGAGACCTTCTGGAAGGCAGGAATGCCTTTCAGACACGTGGGCTCCGAGGCCCCTGTAACAGTGTTCCCAGATGTGCCAGCCGTGGACTGGAACCTCTACCATGTCCACCAGCAGGACAGAGGGCCAGCAGACCATGTCTGCTCACTGTGGCAGATGCTCTGTGGCAGAGGGGAGTGGCCACTGTGATCAGCAGTACAGATGAACCCAGAAAGAAGCCAGTCCAAAGGTGATGAGTCCATGACTCAGTTCCTATGAAGCCCCAAGCTGGGCAGACAAAGTGGGCTGGACTGCAGCCCAGAGACAAGGTCCTCCTCCAGGACCTGGGAGACCACATGGCCAAGATGGGCTGTGAGTGTGACCAGGAGGAGGGTGTGTCCAGGACATAATCCTGGGGTCCCTAAAGAGGGACGTGACAGGGAGAGGGGCTGTGTGGCCACGGTGTGGAGCTGGGTGAGGAGGCAGGCAGGAACTTCCCCTACAGACAGGGATCTCTGTGCTTGAGGCAGCTGGTCTGTGTCTGGTGTCTGGGCACGTGTCCCCGGTGGGGTGTGGGAGGAGGGCATCCTGGTGGACGGGTGCTGTCTGGCCAGCAGGTGGACTGCCCTGGGCGAAGTCCTCACTGCCCTCACACCTGCCTACCGGCTTTTGGATCGTGGTGGGGTTCACGGTGAAGTCACTTTTGTCCTGCTTGAACACGGCCAGTAGCTCCTCAGGGCAGGAGTAGAAAGCCCACTCTTCTGCACTGGCTGGCAAGTCCTCGAGCTGCTTGTTGGGAGCCGAGGCCTGAGACTGGAAAGGAGAGAATGCGGATTTGCTTGAAAGAATGAAGTTCAAAACAGACGCCTCTATGGCCCCGCCAGGACAAGGGCAGACAGTGACCCTCTGCATAGCCCTGGGGGTGTACACCTGCCGTCCCTGGTGCCCAGGGCACACGGCGCCCTGCCTGCCCTCCGCCTCTGCAGCTTCTCTGCTGGAGCCACATCTGACTTTCCGTGCACAAGGCAGCTTCCGACCTCACTGCCCAGTGACACCAGGGACACTTGTGGCCCACACGGCACAGGTTCTGCCTGGGCCACCCAGGCTCTGCAGCCCAGGCCGCCAGGCTGGGCATGAGCTCACACCTTCGGGCTGGCGCCTACTGAACTTCCAGCCACATGCAATGTGTCAGATCTGCTTTGACCCAGGGAGGAGCCAGTATTTTAGGATGAAATGTCCCATGTGCACCAGCGGCTTCCTAGGTGAAGCACTGCTCTTCTCACTGGTCCCCACCTCCCTGGCCTCTGGGCTGCTGTTTATTGGGCTCATCAGGGAACAGGGTTACTGTCACCCTGGGTGAAGCATGTCACTGTCTCCATTGTCCAACACAGAGGAGGTTGCAGACCCCACTGGGAGTACCAGGGAGGCTGGGAGGCTGTGGGGCCTTGCCTCTGTCTCTGGGGAGGCCATGTCTGAGAGAGAAGGCACCCTCACCTGCTTCCC